TATCAGAGCACGGTCGCTGATCAAAAAGGTTTTACAACCCATGCGAGATACAAGATGGCGTCAGGTTCTTCAAGCGCAGCTCCGCTGTATCTTGCTGATGGATTCTCACAAAATCGTCCACCGCGTTTTGAAGGGGTCAACTATGGTTACTGGAAGAATAGAATGGAGTTGTTTGTCGGATCAACAGATCCAAAGCTGTGGGCAAGAGTAATCAAAGGGCCATACGAGCTTAAAGCAGATCAAGAGAAGTGGAGCGATGAGGATTACGAAAAATTTCAGCAAAATTGCAAGGCGACCAACTTGATGTATTGTGCTTTGGGTCCAGAAGAATATCATAAGGTTGCTGGGTGCAAGACAACAAAGGAAATCTGGGATAAACTTCAGGTCACTTACGAAGGTACATCTCAAGTTAAAACTTCCAGAATAAATTCGCTTAAACATCAATTCGAGCTATTCAAGATGGAAGAAGGGGAAACAATACGAAAGATGTATGAGAGATTTACAAACATTGTAAATAGTTTGGAAAATCTTGGCAAGACATATGAGAGTGGAGATCTTGTAAGAAAGATACTGTGGAGTCTACCTGAAAAATGGACTCCTAAGGTAACAGCTATTGAGGAAGCAAAGGACCTTGGGAAGCTGGCTATTGATGAACTGATTGGGTCTCTGACCACTCATGAGGATAAACTAATGAAAGGTGGTCGGATAGTAGTGACAAAGGTAAAAAGGGGATTGCCTTTAAAGCAATCAGTGTGACAGAGGAATCTGAAGAATTAGAGGACATGGAAGATGAGGAACTAGCACTGTTAAGCAAGCAGATAAGTAGGCTGCTAAGAATTCGAAAGGAGAAGAAGATGGGAGGATCTAAGGTCAAAGAAGCAGATAGAAATGAAGGTGTGGCAAGATATGGTCAGTCTCGAACATCCACAAAAGTCAGAAATGATGTCAATCATATTCCAAAGGGTATTGGATCTACTGGATGCTTCAAATGTGAACGATCGGGGCAAATCAAAGCAGAATGTCCACTGCTCAAACGAGAAAAGGCATATGCAGCCACTTGGAGTGGAAGTGAAGATGAAGGAGAAGAAGATGATGAGGTGACAGTGCATAGATCATTCATGGCAGTAGCTGAAGGAATAGAAGATGATGAAGAAGTGTCTGAAATTCGCCAGTCCACTCAGGTAAGTGATCCTAATTTAAATGAACTAAGTGAGACTGAAGATGAAAGTGATGATGAAGTTTTAGCTCAAACTATTAAAGAGATTCAACTAGAATTTGGAAACGTGAAAATCAAGTACACCAGACTTAAGAGAGAGAATGAATGAAATCTTAAGAGAATAGAAGAACTAGAGTATAAGCTGAAAGTAAGTGAAGCAAGCAATAGTGAACTGTTAAATAATCTTGAGAACAGTGAGAGTGAAAATAAAAAAATTCTAAAGGAATGTCTAAGCTTAAAAGAACAAGTGCAGAAGAAGTTGACTCACAAAGTAGGATAGTATCATTCAAAAGTAAGCCATGAATCAGTCAAATACATAGAATGTTATTACTGTCATAAGAAGGGCCATTTGATAAGAGATTGTAAAAAACGATTGTGGTCAGAAGCAAAGAAAAATATATTAGTTGGTAACAATAGATACATCAGGAATAGTCAATCATCACAAGAACACAAGAAAGTCTGGGTTCGAAAAACAGCATGACTTATGTGTATGCAGAGTTGTCTTCAAGTGAGCATGGAGACATCTAAATGGATCATGGATAGTGGTTGCTCACATCACATGACAGGTAACAAGTATTTATTTTCAAGTCTTGAACATGGTAGATTCGGTAAAGTATTTTTTGGTGATAACAACTCTGCTGAAATAATTGGAAAAGGTCAAGTTGGGTCATGTCCTTCTATAAAAAATGTTATGTTAGTTAGTGGTCTGAAACATAATCTTATGTCTATCAGTCAAATGTGTGGAAAGGAATGTAGAGTCATTTTTGAACCTAATTGCTGCTATGTTGAAAATATTAAATCCAAACAGATTTTGTTTACTGGGAAAAGGAATGGTAAAATCTATACTATTGATTTAAATGATAAAGACAGTTTTAATGAAACTTGCTTAATCAGTTTGGACAGAAATCTGCAAGAGGACTGGCATAGGAGACTAGGTCATGTAAATGTGAGTACTTTGTCAAAATTTGCTCGGTTAGATCTGGTAAAAGGGTTGCCTAAGATAAATGAAAAACGAGAATTCTTATGTGATGCGTGTGCTAAAGGGAAGCAAACTAGGTCTAGCTTCAAGAGTAAATCAGTCATTTCCACATCCAGACCTTTGGAACTGTTACATCTTGATTTGTTTGGACTTACTAATGTTGTAAGGTATGGGGAAAAATCCTATGCGTTTGTGGTGGTAGTAGATGACTATTCTAGATTCACGTGGGTTTTGTTTTTAAGTAAAAAGGATGAAGCTTTTGGAAATTTTAAGACCTTACTTAAACGGATTGAGAATGAAAACTTGTCTAAAGTTTACAGTATTTGGAGTGACCATTAATGAACTTGGAATCTTTCATAACTTCTCTGCTCCTAGAACTCCTCGGCAAAATGGGGTAGTTGAAAGGAAAAACAGAACTCTAATTGACATTGCTCGCACCATGTTGCATGACTATGGAATCCCAAAATATTTCCGGGCTGAGGCAATTAATACAGCGTGCTATGTGGTTAATAGAGCATTAATCAGATCAGGTTTAAACAAAACACCATATGAACTATGGAAAGGGAGAAAACCAAATCTGGGGTACTTTCGTACTTTTGGATGCAAGTGTTTTGCCCTAAATACCAAAGATAATCTTGGGAAATTCGATGCAAAGTCTGATGAAGCTGTATTCTTAGGGTATTCTAACTCGAGTAAGGCCTATAGGATCTTTAACAAACGGACCCTCAAAGTTGAGGAGTCCATCAATGTGGTATTTGATGAAGCTGTTGTTGAGATTACATATATATCAGATGATGATGATTTTGGTCTGGGAAGATCATCTTCAGTTTGCACAGATAAGGGAATTGAGGATCAATGTTTGAAAGAGAAGTCAACTGAGAATCTGAATACTGAATCACAAAACAAGAATTCACAACTCAATGAGAGTGAAAGCAGACTACAATTGATAGGAAAAGGAGGAGAAGCAAGTTCATCTTCAGTCAATCTGCAACCTCCAGCCCACATTGTCAAGAGACATCCTGCCACACAAATTATTGGACCTATGGAAACAGGTATCATCACTAGATCCAAAATTTTACCATCTCACACTGCTTTTGTGTCCCTTGTTGAACCTAAGTCAGTTAAAGAAGCCTTGTTGGATGAATTCTGGACTGCAGCTATGTTTGATGAAATGCATCAGTTTGAAAGAGCAAATGTGTGGGAACTCGTTCCCAAACCTGAAAACAGGGTTATCATAGGAACTAAATGGATCTATAAAAAAAAACGGATGAAGTAGGGGTGATAACTAGAAATAGAGCTAGGCTAGTAGCTCAAGGGTACAATCAGGAGGAGGGAATAGATTTTGATGAAACTTTTGCTCCTGTAGCACGACTTGAAGCAGTTAGACTGTTATGTGCTTTTGCTAGTGCTTCAAAAATTAAAATCTATCAAATGGATGTTAAGAGTGCTTTCTTAAATGGAGATCTGAAAGAGGAAGTTTATGTAGCCCAACCCCCTGGTTTTGAAGATCCAAATTATCCAAATCATGTGTATAGATTAAAAAAGGCTCTATATGGTTTAAAACAGGTTCCCAGAGCTTGGTATGATAAACTGAGTTCTATTCTATTAGATAATGGTTTTCACAGAGGGTCAGTGGATAAAACGTTGTTCACTAAACATAAGGCAGGTCATCTGTTACTGGTACAAGTGTATGTTGATGATATTATTTTTGGGGGAACCAGTAAGGAAATGTGTCTAGAATTTGAAAAACTTATGAAGACTAACTTTGAAATGAGTCTTATCGGTGAGTTAATTCTTTATGGGTTTACAGATAAAACAGACATCTAAAGGAATTTTTATAAGTCAGTCAAAATATATCCAGAGTATGCTGAAACGCTTTGATTTTGGAAAATTGAAAACTGCTGTCACTCCCATGGGAACTTCACAAAAAATTGACAAAGATGAGTCATGGACCCTTGTAAATGAAAAATTGTATAGTGGGTTAATAGGATCTCTCCTATATGTGACTGCAAGCAGACCCGATATTCTGTTTAGTGTATGTGTCTGTGCCAGATTTCAGAGTGCACCAAAAGCGAGTCACTTATCTGCTGTCAAGAGGATTTTTGGATATTTGGCTGGTACTGTGGAATTTGGACTATGGTATTCCTGTGAATCCAGTTTAGAATTAGTTGGGTACTCTGATTCAGACAATGCAGGGTGCATAGTTGATCGGAAAAGTACTTCAGGAACTTGTCACTTTATGGGGTCTTCTCTGGTGGCATGGTTTAGTAAGAAACAGAATTCTGTAGCCTTGTCTACTACAGAAGCAGAGTACATTGCTGCTGGATGCTGTTGCACACAACTTATGTGGATGAAATACCAACTTCTTGACTATGGTTTAGAATTTGGCTCCCTTCCTGTGCTATGTGGCAACACTAGTGCAATAAATATGTCCAAAAATCCTGTGAAACATTCAAAAACCAAACACATAGAAATTCGTTTTCATTTCATCCGAGAACTAGTTCAAGATGGAAAAATTCATCTTGAGTTCGTTCCCACAAATTTTCAATGGGCTGACATATTCACAAAGCCCTTGGGATCGGATTCTTTTCTTCAAATCAGACGAGAGTTAGGTCTCTTTTCCTTAAGTGACATTACTCAGGACCTTCCTTAACTAGGATTCAGGGATTCTCTCTTCAGAGTTCGTCTATTCTTTAGGTCCAAGTCTTTCCTTGTTTCTGGCCTTCTTCATTTCTATCCGACCTTCCATCTCTTGATCTTGAATCAGTCTATAAAATCCTTAGGATCAAGTCTCTCTTCTCATCATTCAAACAGTTTCTATCCTAAAAATATACTTCCGCTTCTTCAAGCGATTATGGCTGGCCCTCAACAGTATGTTGCTTCCCTGCGATTGGCGCAAGCAGCCATTTTCAATGGCAAAGGATTTGAGGATGCTGCTGGGTATGCTCGATATCTTCTCAAATTCCAAGATCGTTCCTTATGTCCTTCCATCACTCTGGATCCCTCTCGGTTTAACGGGTATGGGATGGATATTCCACGCCTGATTAATTCCATTGGCTGGGGTGATATACTCCCTAATCGTAATTTTGGTTTTTGGCCTGAGGCTGTAAGGATGTTCTATGCAAACATGAAGCCATGCTTCCAAATCTCCCCACCCTGTTTTACTACGATAGTTTACAACTATCTGATCACTATCAATGTGGAACTCTTGTCACTGCTTTTTGGAATTCCCGTTGCTGGTGCAGAAGTCCAGAATGAGTCTGACTTTCACTTAGTTGACGTCAATGAGGGGGATGCCTTGCGACTGTATACTCGTGATATTGGTCGCTATTACCCTTCTGACTTCCATTCTGGGAGACTTCCTGATGATCTCAAGGTTTTACACTTCTACATCACGAGGGCTTTTCTACCTCGATCCCATGGGCTCAATACACTTTACCCCTCGGATCTGTGGATCCTCGCTAGTGCAAAGGAAAATCGCGTCATTAGCTATCCACGTCTCATGATCGATCACATGCTGAACCATCATGATGCCAACTATGATGGAGAACTCCCTTTTGCTCCTCAGATAACGCAGATCCTGCTGGCTTTGGGTTTGGATTTGCGTTTCAAGGTAGCTCGAGTAGACATACTTAGCTCTCTTCGGGCTCTGTTTGTGCTCCGTAAAGTTGATGCTTATGTTGGACGCCGTCGCCCGCTGGTCAATGCTCCAGGGGGAGAAGCAGCTAGCCATGCAGTTCCTCCTCGCGAGGATGGACTTAGTCTTGCGGACTTGGGAGAAGAAGAGGCTAAAGAAGCGCCGGAGACAAAAGATATTGTTGGGATGATAAGGGATAATGGCAAACAACCGATGATGCATCCCTTGGAAGTCATTCAATCTTTGTTTCGACGGGAGGGGGAAGCTAGTAACAGTAGGAATCAGATGCAGGAAGATGAAGATGGGATTTCTAATTATGTTTCTTCACCTGATTATGGGTTCTAGGATGAATATCGGTCTTAGGGGGAGTTAGTTAGGTTGGGGTCTTGTCTGGTTGGATTATAGTTGGAGGCGCCCTTAAGAGTGAGTCTGTCTGTCTTTCTTTTCAACTCAGCATGCCTGAGTATGTGTCCGAATGTCTTTGGCTTTAGTTCTGTGTCCGAACGTTTTGTCTGGATATTGAATAAATAAACTCCCCTTTAATTAAAACAGTTCGTTTCTTCGTAATACAGTTTGTGTTGGGAGCAGTCTGCACGTAACGGTGTGTTTGAGTGTGTGCAGGAACTGCATTTACAGCTGAAGGGATCATTGACTGGCTTAGAGGGAGAATGTTTTATGAAAGCCAGTCATCGACCCATGAGGAAGAACTGGGAAACGTGCACATCAAGTCATCGGACATAGAAGAGAAAAAGGAAGCCCTGGACATCAAGGTCTGCATTTAGGAAGAATTTCCAAATGTAGAGGTAGCAGATTTGGTACAGCTACAGAATCATCTCAAGGAAAACAATTAAGGGAAGAAATTCAAATGAAGGAGAATGTCGCAGACTGAAGACCAACGGCTAGTTGCAGAAAGATAAAAAGGCCACAGAGAAGAACAAGAAAGCAACTTTTCGAGAGATCAATCGTCCAAGAGCACAGAGGAGTTTCGTGAGTGACGATAGATAAGAAAAGTAGCTCTAATCCAAAGATTAGGAGTGATTGTGTATTAGAGGGTGTGTCGGAGGACACAGTAGCTGGATAGCTGATTGTGCGAGAAGTTCAGTGTGTTAGATTGACCTTCCGAGTGTGGTTGGTGAATCGTACTTGTTTCGGAGCAGTCAAGAAAATCTCTTAGTGAATTGGCGAGAATCACAAATCAGTGATCTCTTGTCCGTGGAGTAGTCAGAGCTGGGTTTCATTTTCACTCAGCTCTGGAAACCACGTAAAAGCCCATGTGTCAATTTATTTTAAGTTCTGCAACAGTTCAATCTTAATCTGGTTTCGATCAAAGGAGTAATGATACCAGATGAAAGAATCATAAAAGAAAACAACCACGAAATGAAGAATGAAACTGATCTGCTTATTTTGGTTGGGCCTGATCACTTGAGCCCAACTACTTTAAGTTTCTCGATTTGGCTTGTTGAGGCAGATCGTTGCACTATACTAAACTGCGCATTTTAACTCCACGCTACTTGTACTGTATCCTTCTCTATGCATATTCAATTCCCCTGTTTTCCAAAACTAGCAGAAGGAAGAGTTAGGGTTTCAGGGGTGATCAAAGGATCTAGAGGAAGGAGGCATCTCACACTCCACGCCTATTAATAGGGTGCTTGAAGTTGGATCTCCCACAACCCTAATTGAAGTCCAAGTTGGAGCTTGCCGCTAAGAATTTTACAATAACAAGCTCCAACACGGATTTCCAACCCCTCCCTCCTCCCGGCATGACACTTTTGGAGAAATTGGAATGGACTTGTCCAAGCTATCGCCTCTCATTATTGGAGGAGAAGGTGGAACGGGCTTGTGCAAGCTATCGCCTCTCATTATTGGAGGAGAACGAGGAGGTTGAAAGGGCGAGCAATGACAACCGTGTGGAGCAAGAAGAACTCACCTCGGAGAGCTCACGTGGTGAGGATGAACAAGAAGGTTGCATTGACGAATCTCGTCACTTTCCCCTTCCCGAAACCAACTTTGAAGAGCAAGACACGAGTGTGGAGGAGCAAGAGAATCCTTTCAATGATCTTTCATGGAGCCTTGCCCTCCAAACCGTGCTTTAATACATGAAAGGAAAGTAGAAAGAAGAGGGTGAAAAAAGGAAGATGAAGAGGAAAGCCTCGAGGAGGAATTGGAACGGTCGAAAGTTATCACGGATGGCCACCGTGATGTTCGAGACTTGGAATGTCCTCTTGAGGAAGCCACCACTCTTCCACATTTTACCCCAAGCGTTGTAGAGGAAGTCCTCAATGAGGAGATGAGTGTCAAGTCAATCGAAGACATAGCTTGGAGACTCGCTATTCAACGCTTGCTTGCAGAAGAGCGAGGAAAGATGAGGAAAGAAGAGGTTAAAGAGGAGGAAGCGAGCTTTAAAGAGAGGGAAGATCTCGAGTGTTCCCAACGGGAGGAAATTGAAGAAGAAGGAAGGGAGGTTGAAGAAGAAGTAGAAGGAGCAAGTGAGGTCCAAGATGAAGACGAGGTCGTGGTGGATGAAGCTTCAACAAGTTACAAGTGCGAACAAAGCTTTCCACCCGACCTCGATGCGCTTTTGGAAAAGGACCCATTTGCGGCTCTTTGCCATGACAAGGCCAAACTATCGGTGATCCCTCTTGGTGGATGGGATGGAAACCAATCGAGTATACACTACATGGGGAAAAGGGAAGAAAGAAGAAGAGGTCTCGTGGATGGAGCCTCAAAGCCACTCAAGGTCACGAGCCCTATATCATGAACTCGTCCAAAGCTCATGACTTGAGACACCACCTGATAACGATGTAATTGCACGTATTTGCACCCCTAGTTCTTATCCGTTTGAGGGGCATAGTCGTGTATTTTTGGCCTATTTTACGCCGGGTTGTGCTACTTTGTCATATTTCAGGTCCTAGGCATCAAAAGAAAGGCTAAGCACGAGTTTTGGGGCATTCAGAAGTCATTCGGTCAAGCTGGAGCCAAAACACGGGCACACCTAAATCAGAACACGGCCGTGTTCCTAGGCCGTGCTTTTACTGCCGAGACTTGAATTGAGTTTGGCAAACACAGGCTGAAAACACGGGCGGGTTTGAGACAAAACACGAGCGTGCCCTCCAAAAGCACGCCCGTGTTTTCACCAACAAGCTGGCCGTGTAATTAACCCTTGGCAAAACACGGGCGGGCTGAGGCAGAACACGGCCGTGCCCTCGACCGTGTTTTGCCTAGTGATGCACTTTTAAGCAGATTTCAGCCAAAAGAGAAGGGGATTCGAGTTTAGAGAGACAGAGCGATTCCTAGAGAGAGAAAGCGACGAACAAGAGTTCCCAAGTGCCCTAGCTTGATCTTCATCACCATTGGAGCTTGGCTTGAGCTTGGAGAAGTGCCGATCAACGTCCAGGAGAAGTGCCGATCAATGTCCAGGAGCAGGAATCCATCTTTCACAGTATGAATTCCGCGTCTGATTCTGCTTTTGCTTCTTTCTCCATGGAGTAGTTCTCCCATTCATCTGGGTATGGAAAACCCTAGATTTGTATGTTAGGTTTGATTGTATGAACCCAAGTACTGATTCTATGATTTGATTATATTCAATTGAGGTTTGAATGATTGAATGGCATGAATCCTGATCAAATTCCTGTTGTTTCTGCTTTAACCTAGAATGAGAATATCTGCCTAGGTTGATAGAGCATCCTTGATTGAAGGTAGGGAGTTGGTGACTTTAGTCGAGGAGCCAACTCACTATTCTGTACCGAATTCACTTCGCTAGTGGAGGTTTTGTTTGTTAGGGCCTCAATCTGTTTACTCCGGTGGAGGTTAGTCGCCCGCTAGAGACTCAGATTGAGAGGGTCTGGAGACCTTTAGTCGAGGCTTCAGGCTGTTTTAGAACCTTCCGCAGTATAACTATCATAGAAACTGAACTTGGTAATTGCAATCCGGCTTAACTGCATTCTAGGGGGAACCATATCCGGGTGACCTCTCTTAACCTGAATACAATGGTTTAGTTGCTTTGTTTGTTTGTTAGTTTAGACTTGCATTAAAGTTTCATTGCTAGATAACAAGAATTCACTGAGTAGTCATCAAATCTAGGACCCGGGTTGACATTAAAACCCAAACCCGCTATACTACGCTTTAGGAAGTGGTTACACTTGGCCAATTTCTAGAGTGACAGTAGAAGTGAGTCAAGTTTTGGCGCCGTTGCCGGGGACGGCTAGGTTGTTGAAGAAAAGTGATTTTTGTTAATTTAGCTTTTCTTTTCGCTTTGTTTGCTTTGTCCCACTTGTGCCTTCACGGGTTTGCTTGCTTGAGTGTGTGCAGGTAGTGCATGACCCGTAGCCAGTCGGGAGGTTTACTGCTGTTGAATCCAGAGATTGACCACACATGTCGCCAACTTAGGAGACAACAGCGAGCTAGACTGGCTACGGAAGAGCGCATAGACGGCCACCTGAGTAGCGATTCTGAGGAAGAGTACGGGATGGACGGAGAATACAATCCACACCAGGGGAATCCTCAGTAGGCTCCCCCGGTGAATCAGGTCCTGGGGAACCACCCCATACCCCAGGATCATGGGGTTCATCATCATCCACCGTCGCCGGGTCCCACATTGGAGTACTACTACACTCTACGGATTGCTGACATCCGCCCGGTCATCCTCTACCCGCCTATTCCAGCAAACAACTTCGAGATCAAGCCATGTTGGATTCAGCTCATTACATCCTCTATCCAGTTCCATGGCTTGAAGGATGAGGAGGCCAGGGTACATCTTTCCTGTTTTCTACAGCTGACGAACGGATTCAAACTGAATGGTGTCCCCGATGATGCAATCCGCCTTCACCTTTTCCCCCATTCTCTGGCGGGGAATGCTAAGAGGTGGTTGGAGACCCAGCCCCCATTGTCCATCACCTCTTGGGACGATTTGGCTGACAAATTTGTGCACAGGTACTATCCGGCATCGAAGACTACAGAGATCCAGCGAAGATCACTCACTTCCGCCAAGAGCCAGATGAGTCACTTCGTGATGCATGGGAGCGGTACATGGGATACTTCTGGCAGTGTCCCCATCATGGCTTCAGTGATGCATTCACAGTGGGGAACTTCTACAGTGCTCTCTCTCCAGATAGCCAGAGGGTGATTGAGTCTCTATGCCCAGGAGGGGATATTCTTACTAAGACTCCACCCGAGCTGAACCAGATGATCAATACCTTGGCTGCTAGAGATCATTCTTGGGGGCAGAGCAGCAGACGCAGACATTCCCGGGACCGTGGTGTGCACGCCATGGAGACCAGATCCGGGCTTGAGCAGCAGGTAGCTGAGTTAGTGCAAACATTGAAGCAGCCCAACAGTCTGATTCCAGGCAGAGGTTTGGCTACACCTCCAGTAGCTCAATGTCAGTGGTGTGAGAGCTCAAATCACCTAGTGGAGGACTGCCAGGCTATGAGGGAGTCTACTACTCCCCAAGAGCAGTTGGACTTCATCGCCAATGCTCGGCGCCTCGACCCGTACAGCAACACATATAATGAGGGGTGGCGCCAGCATCACAATTTCGCCTGGAGCAGCAACACCACTAAACC